GAGCAACATGATTTTGGGGACATCTTGCTAACAGGGGCTCAGCTGAAAGGAAAACGTGTGTGATCATTAGATACAAGACATATATGCTTCAATTGTAAATACAGATACAATTGTCTGGCTATATATAGCTTTCTGGTGTGCTATGAAACTATGCTTAGTGTGATCCATCTTTTCTACAGTTAAAACCACCCTGTTTTCAATGTCTTAGAAATGACTTTTAAGATTTATAAAGTTGAGAGACCAGATGGTTTCCTTTCCAAACATTTATATTTTCCTCACCCTAATAGCAGGAAGTTCATTTCAAGATTGCATTTCTGTGTTTGAATTGTTGTGTTTCCTCTAAGTCAGAATGCAAACAAGTTGAGATGTATGATAAATTTTCAATATATTGTACAAATGGTGCTGTTGCTACTTGTTTGGATAACATGGTATGAGTAATTCTTCCCAAAAGTACACTGTCTAAAAGTCTCAGATAAGGGGAGTGGAGTGCTGCTTTGGGTTCTGAGAATAGTTAGGGGAATTTTACACCTTTGTTTTTTTTTCAACTAGCTGAACCACTTAAGATTTTATGTAGTGCATGTATATGGGGAAAAGGGGTTATGGTTTATGTGAATAATAGAGATCTGCACAGTATAAATTAACTTGTTTCTAGAATTATGTTGGTAGTAGTGTTATTTTATTTTGTTTTTTTGGTGTCACTTAAGGGGATGATAGTTGGAACAATTCTGAAATAAAATTTGTAAGACCCTTAATGGGGAACCTAAGACAATTTCACTTAATTTCTCAAAAGATTTATATTCAAGTCTCTGGTTCAGGAAACTAAATTGGGTGAGTAGGTAAAAATAGTCTTATTTAAAAGAATCCAAATTTGATTTTATAACTTTTAATGTTATTTTAGTTATAAACAGTACAACCCTCTTCACAGCTTAGGATTCTAATATGTTCAAATCTCTTATTTTCCAAATTAATTATTCTCAAGGCTCCTATGTATCCTGACTAGTAAAAAAGTCTAATACCCTCCTCTTTATTAATCCTTCCTTATGAACATCCTTGGGGCAACTTTGCCCAAGAACCATCAGCACTTGCGAAGTTTAAAGTATTTAAGGGGTCAATCTTGTTTCCAAATGGTAGGTGTAGAAAGAACTGCAAAATCCCATCAGCTCATTAGTATCCTGCATCATGGGAATTCCTCGTATATCATGCTTCAAATGATGTTCTTCCAAACTATATGAATACTCTTTTTTTTTTATCTATTCCCTATACAAGTCCCTATTATGTCCTTCTTTGAACTCCAAGTTTGGAGCTCTTTTAGTTCATAGCCACATGCTCATCCATTATTCCCAAAGCTTCTCATGGTGCTAGGATGACTGGGTATGAAAGGACTTTCTGTCTTAGCCACAGTGTCTGCTAGAACCTTCCCTGTGCCTTGAATACTCAAGCTAGTGGGTCTCAAACTTGAATGTGCATAAAGATCACCTGAACAGTTTGGAAAACATGCATATTCCTTGCTTAACAGAGATCTCATTCTGGAACTCTGGATCGGTCCAGTAATCTTCAAGTTCAATAGCATTCCAGGTGTTTCTGATGCTGCTAAAAATACATGATCTACTAGAGCAGTGGTTCTCAAACAGCCTGCATATTTGAATCATCAGAGAGCTTAAAAAAGACACTAATTTGCAGGACCTTAACCTTAACCAAGGAAATAAGAGCATTTGAGTTTAGCAAAGGGCATAGGTATGTTTCAAAACATCCAGGTGATTATGATCAGCAACCAAACATGAGAACC